TAGCCTGTGTTAAAATGTACAACAGCACAACTGGTCTGCCTTGTGACTTTGTTGGTTTGTATGGTGGTTTGTGATAGTACCAAAGCCAGTTTACCCCAAAGGGATTTTTAAATCCTAGTTGACTTTGACCAAGACTGCCCTTTTTGTTATTTGCATAGCCTAGGGTCAGGCTGGGCAACTTTGAGGCCTGGCTTTGGGACACTAGCCCATTGCTTCAGTTACTGCTTCAGCCCCTAACTGAGGATTGGAAAGTTCAAGTCAACTGTATCGGCCCAGTTACACTTGTGTTTGACACAAAAGGCAGGATGCTAACTCTTTGGTCTTTTCTCCACCCCAAGTGAACTAGATTTTTTGTTTCCTTGGTTGAAGAGCATCTGGAATTAAATTTTTAAAATACCATGTAACCTATCTCCATTCTGCTGTTTAAGTTAGGCTGGAAAAGAAGCAGCTTTAAGACGGTGCAGTGGCTCCTGCCTGTAATCCCAGCACTTTGGAGGCTGAGGTGGATGGATCGCTTGAACTCAGTTCAAGACTGACCTGGACAACATGACGAAACCCCATCTCTACTAAAAATACAAAAATTCGCCAGGCATGGTGGTGCACGCCGGTATGCCAGCTACCAGGAGGCTGAGGTGGGAGGACAGCTTGAGACCAGAGGCAGTTTTACAGTGAGCCAAGATTGCACCACTGCACTCCAGCCCGGATGACAGAGCCAGACCCTGTCTCCAAAAAAACAAAAAACAGCTTTAAGACCTCTATTGGTGTTACGTACTCAAAAAGGAAGACAAAGACTTCTATCCAGCTGATTTTTGAAATCAGACCTCTTTTGCAAGGCACCATACTCTGACACTACTCCAGAGACAGTATGTGTACTAGATGCTATTTCTCAGCTGATTTAGGCAGACACAAACTGAACAGAACAAGGACTAGAACTCATAGTGTTAAGTTTCACACATATCCCCATAGTCCCCAAATGCTCATTTTCCACTCCAAACTTCAGAGCCAGAGGCAAGGAAGATGACTGAGTTCTGTGTAAGAAAGCAAAGGTAAAAAGAAACGTTATTTTTGGTATATTGACAAACTGACAAGTTGAAGGTTGTGGGTCCCCTTCACTTAACAGGGGAGGATCTGTGATAGAAAAATAAGGCTTAACCACTCATGGTCATGAAGCATGTAGGTTTTGCTACAGAATTTCTATACTTGGCTGGGAAAATGACTCACAAAGCAGACACCAATCTAGTACCTATGTTTGTATACAATGGCATATCAATATGGAAACAGGCTTCTAAAGTTGTCGCTCTTGGTCAGTGCCTACAGGATGAGGTGGTGGACTTGAGGGTGGTGGGGATGTTGTTGTTTTTCCATAAGGAACTGTTTGCCAAGCAGATGTGAAGAGGGGCTGCAAGGTTTGGTTTAGCTGGGAGTTATAAAAGCAGGGATGAGGCCAGCTTGACAGGGCTCTATGGAAAGTACCTCCCTGTTCACCTGTTTGTTGGACTAATTATTACTCAGCTTTCCCCAGTAAGGGTGGGGAAATGTCAGCCATGGAGGCCAGTCTTGATCACACTGAAGCATGTCTCTAGATCATGATTTTCCCTCCATAGTTCACTATTCCATTTTTATTGATACTGAAACAGCCCCACCTTCATTGGTGAGATCTATGCAGGGCAGAGGTTGAAAATATGGGTCTGTTTTTATCTCCTTAATATGAGTAAGATGTGAGAAAAAATTTGAATGAAGCCTCCAATTGCTGAAGTCAAGACAAAGTAAGCTTTCCCACACCCACCCAAGTCAGTCACCCTGCACAGTTTGGTCCTTTGTTAAGCCTAAGTCCTGTTTGGCTCCTAGCCTTCCACCAGGACCTCTTCTCACTTTCTGCCTTGGGTAGATGGCTAGTGGTAGTAGCCCTTCCACAGGCCTTGAGTCCTCCTCTCTTCTTCCTGCCAGATAGAGGCTGGAATACCCACTCTACCTGCCAGCAGAAATAGAGGTCAGTTCCACAGCAGTGCTGACCAACTTGGCACCGTGCCCTAGCTAATCAGCACGATCCTAGACAAAACTGTACATCTCTCTAAGGGGGAGGAGCTGCTAACAAAAATGCTCTTTTTTTTTTTTTTTTTTTTTTTGAGACAGAGTCTCAGTCTCACCCTGTTGTCGCCCAGGCTAGAGTACAATGGCGCAATCTCAGCTCACTGCAATCTTCGCCTCCCGGGTTCAAGCGATTCTCCTGCCTCAGCTTCCTGAGTAGCTGGGATTACAGGCACACACCACCATACCCGGCTAATTTTTATATTTTTAGTAGAGTCAGGGTTTCACCATGTTGGTTAGGCTGGTCTGGAACTCCTGACCTCATGATCTGCCTGCATCAGACTCCCAAAATACTGAGATTACAGGTGTGAGCCACCTCGCCCAGCCAACAAAAATATTCTTACTCAGAGCAGGGATGACACTAGCAAAGGGGTTAAGTGGAATTTTTTAAATCTCTAAATCTTTTAAGTTAAAAAAGATTACAAAACAAGGTAAAAGTTACAGCCTAATTACTGAACAAAAATACAGTCATGTGCTGCATAACATTTCATCAATGACAGATCACATATGTAATTGTCCACTAAGATTATAATACCCTATTTCTAGTGTACTTTTTTTTGAGACAGGGTCTCACTTTGTCACCCAGGCTGGAGTGCAGTGGCACAGTCTTGGGAGTACAGGTGTGAACTACTGTACCCAGCCTATACTGTACCTTTTATTTTTAATTTTTTCAAATTTTTCTTCACTGTGGTCTTCCTCTATGCACCTTTTCTATGTTTAGATATACAGGTGCTTATCATTGTACTTCAGCTGCCTACAATATTCAGTATAGCAACATGCTGTACAGGTTTGTAGCCTAGGAGGCACCACCATTTAATTTTGTGTAAGTACACTCTGACAAAATGGCCTAACGAAGCATTTCTCAGACTGTATGCTGGTCATTAACACATGACTACATACATTTCTAGAAAGGATATAAGAATATTAAAACAATTTTACTTTTCAGTTTTCTACATATAATTTGTGTTTTTTAAATTATTGGTATGAATTAATGGTTTTCGACCCCTTTTTTTTTGTTTTTTTTTTTGAGATGGAATTTTGCTCTTGTTGCCTAGGCTGGAGTGCAGTGGCGTGATCTCGGCTCACAGTAACCTCTGCCTCCCAGGTACAAGCCATTCTCCTGCCTCCGCCTCCGAGTTGGTAGGATTACAGGCACCCGCCACCACACCCAGGTAATTTTTGTATTCTTAGTAGACAGGATTCACAGTGTTGGTTAGGCTGGTCTTGAACTCCTGGCCTCAGGTGATCCACCCACCTCAGCCTCCCAAAGTTCTGGGATTACAGGCGTGAGCCACCACACCCGGCCTCAAACTAACTTTTAGTTTTGCTTTTTTTCACCCCTTTACGTGTCTTGGTTTTATCCGGCTTACAGACGTTAGTCAATTCCTAATTAGGAAAGAGTTCTTTTTTGATATGACCAAACCTTTCCAACTGGAGGCTGGGTAATCAGGGAGAGGCTCTTATAAACTGAGACATTAAAAAAATCATCTTTTTTTTTTTTTGAGACAGAATCTTGCTGTCACCAGGCTGGGAGTGCAGTGGTGCCATCTCAGCTACTGCAACTTCCGAGTTCCTTGTTCAAGTGATTGTCCTGTCTCAGCCTCCCAAGTAGCTGGGATTGTAGTCAAACGCCACCACACCCAGCTAATTTTTGTATTTTTAGTAAAGACGGGGTTTCACTATGTTGGCCAGGATGGTCTCAATCTTCTGACCTCATGCTCCACCTGCCTCAACCTCCAAAAGTGCTGGGATTACAGGCATGAGCCACTGTACCCGGCATCATTATTCTTAGAATTCTACTCCACTCCTTAGAACAATTCTAAACATGACTAAAGTAATATCACTAAAGGACACCTGAGCCAGGTTACAGAGTGGTATCCAGTGGATTATTTCACAGCTTCCATTAAGGGGATCATAGCGTCTACTCTTAAACCCTGTCCAATAATCTCACAGAAGATGCCAGGAGCAATGGCTCATGCCTATAATCCTAGCACTTTGGGAGACTTAGGCAGGAGTTTGAGACCAGTGTGGGCAACATGGTGAAACCTTGTCTCTACAAAAATTAGCCAGGTGTGGTGGCATGCACCCATAGTCCCAGCTAGTTTGGAGGCTGAAGTGGGAGGATGGCTTGAGCCCCAAAGGTGGAAGTTGAAATGAATTGAGATCATGTCACTGCACTCCAGGCTGGGAGACAGAGCAAGACCCTGCCAATAAAAAGACTGCTGAGTGAGTGTTCATTCCTGCAGCATCAACTAAACACCTGCCGTAACATGGCCATTTGGAAGTTCCAGCATCCATGCAGAGACCTGAAAGCATTGCAGCTATTCATAGGCTGGGTAGTTGAGCATTCTGAGGGAAAACAGATTCTAGCTCCCTCCGCAGGGGAGGTTTTTTCAGGGTCCTGAACCCTGGCTTCCTGCTTCTTTAGTGGTCCTGCTGCTGCTTATGCAGCAGTCTTGTCACGTTAGTCACTGCCATGGGTTTCTCAGGTTTTCACCATCATGACTACACTCCGATTCTCTGCACCCCTTTGGCAGGTGAGGCCACTAGAGAAATAACAGCGCAATTGAGTTTAAAAGTAGTTTGTAGCAGGTGGACAGGTAAGGAGCTGGGTTAGGTGACACCTCCACTTAGCCTCGCCATATGAGACCAAAAGAACTCTGGATCCTTCCTGAGAGGACTGAGCTGACTAACCCTATGAAGTAGACACTGCATAATGCCTTCCCTGAAGGTTTAATACAGTATTTAAGACTTGCCCTTTAAAGTTCCCCATTGTCAACCTCCCCAGTTCTCCACCCATCTTCCCATGTGAGCTCTGCCTTGGCCACACAATGGCCATTCCTCCCCACAAAAGTTCATTTCCTTTATTCTCAATTTAAATTCAAAGTGGGGAAAAAAATTGCACTTGAGAATGAATCATCCATTTTTATTTTATTTTATTTTGTCATGTGCTCAACAGCATCTCTTTCTCTCTCCCCTCTCCCTGGCAGGTCACAAGAGATAAATTAAAAATAAAATCTACAAGGAAAATAATTTATAGCACTCCTAGGTTCACACCTTCTATCCCTACTGCTCAGTTATGAACCCCCTAACTGGGAATCAGTGCTCTCCTCCCCTTACCCCCATTTCACTCCTGCTTGTCTGGGGTACACAGTAGTACTCCAGAGCCAGGCAGGGGTGGGGGAAGCAGTGGCAAACAGTTAAAATAAAGACATTGTGGTCCTGGAATCATCTGGCCGCCTTGGCATTCCCATGTCTGCCTCCCCCAGGCAGCCCTCCAGGAGCCTGTGCTAAGCTGGGGCTGCGGAGAAGCTGTCTGTGGCTGAGAGCTTGTGTGTTTGTGGTGGGGAGTACTCTCAGCCTGTCACATGCACTTCTCAATCTTCTAGAAAGAAACCCAAAAAAGAAATATGACGACCTCGGGACAGAGGAGAAAGATCCCAAGTGTTCACACAGTTACACGGAGTCTTTATGGCAAAGAGAACATTTAGCAGCTTTGAATATTGGGGCATCTCCTTTTTACTCAACACAAGCATTCTAGACCCTATAAGTCAAACAGGGCACAAGCCCTAAAAAAATCAAAGCGCCAAGAAATTCTAAGACTAGGTTTTTTGTTGTTGCTGGGTTGTGTAATTTTTTGTGTTTCCCCAGTGACAAGCCCAATTTTTGGTAGGCAGAGGCCCTAGGGAAGGGTCATTCCCCAGTGTTGTGCTAAATCCTCCCTCCATCATTCCCCTGCCTCATAGCAGTCCCTGAAGAGGAAGGCTGCAGGCACAGTTCCCAGAGCACTGCCAGCACCCTACTCCAGCTACAGAAGAGCTCAGGCGGCTGGTGAGGGGTGGGGAACACAAACACCAGACCCAAGGAGGATGGCATTCACATGCAGGCTCTGATGGAGACAGTGGGAGCCTCAGCTCAGGGGTGGCTAGAGCATGGAGGCAGATGGAGTGGCAAGGCAGTGAATGACATGCGTGACATTGGGGCTGCTGCAACATGGGGCCACATGACCTTTTCCTGTTCACTCTTTGACCCTAAATCTCCAAGCCAGTGTTGGGGCCCAGTGGCTCCATTCGATTGAAACATTCCAGCTGATGATACCCAAGAGCTCCCCTTCAGGGATGACAAAGTGCAAGGAGCAGAAAGAGTTAACATCGCCCCTCCCCACCCCCACCCTGTGTCTGTGTAACCCCCACTGGGGTGAAATGGGGTTTATCACCAGTGACCTAGGCCCACCAGAGTCACTCAAACCTGCTGCCTGGAATCCTGGCCAGAGCCAACCTTAATCTTCCCTTTGATTTTTTCCCACTTTGATTTTTGGGGTTTCCTTCTCTTTGCCTCTTTCCTGGAATGAAACTTTCTGCCACCTTCCCTTCCTCTCACAGGTCCATTCCTTCCCCTTTGTCGGCCTTTGCTCCACACAGCTCCTCTACCTCCAGCAACTCCACCACCACCCTTGCCTCACAGGAAAGTGGTAGGGTGAGGACCCTGTCCGTCCAAATGGTCTAGCTACTTCCACTCCACCCAAGTAGAGCTGAGCCAGCCAGTGCCTGTACCTGCCTCTTCCTGTACACTGACCCGCAGTCATCCCATCTGAGAAGATATATTGGATAAGAAGGCATTAAAGTTCCCGCTGTAGCTGTAGGTCCAGGTCCAGGTCCAGGCCCAGCCCTTCTCCAGTTTCGGTCTTGGTGGGCATCAAACCCCCTTCCTCCCCAGGCTCACTTTCTCCGGTCCTTTGGCTTCCTCTCCTGCCGCCGGGCCTGCTGGTCGGCCATCGTGCGGGGGATGAGGAGGACACTGCCGTCCCCAGCGTACTGGAGCGCGTACTGACTAGGTGAGTAGGGTCGCCCATTCTCATCCCGCAGCCGCCCAAACACCTCCTGGTACAGGCTCTGGACCTTCTGCTTCATTTGCCGCAGGGAGCGCAGGAACTCCACTTTCTCCCGCAGCAGCCGGGCTTTGTCGCGCTGCAGGTCCTCCACATCACGCTCCAGATTCAAGATGGTGTCCAGCTTGCGCTTGCGGCAGTTCTGCGCCGCCATCTTGTTCTTGCCCCGGCGCCGGATGTCTCGGATGAGGCTCAGCTGGGCTTCGCTCAGCTGGTATTTGGACAGTAGCTCATTGAACTCCTCCACAGGCAGGTTGATGATCTTGTCATTGGTGAAAGGAATCTTCATGGCTCGGGCTCGGTGCTCATCCCGGCTCATTTGCTTGTCCAGGAAGTCAGCCTGCTTCTCCTTGCTGCCTTTCTTGAGGGCACTGGGTGGTGGCAGGTCGGCTGAGTCCAGGGCACTGGGTGCCATGTTGTATGTGTGGTTGTGGCCCACATGCTCTAGGTAGGGCAGGCAGGAGAGCTGAGCCGGATCCTGATAGCTCATGCGGCAGAACTTGGAATACTCAGGCTGGTAGCCCACAGCACCCTCGGCCTCTTCCAGATCCAGGGTCTCAGAGTCAGAGCTGTAGCCAACTGCACCTTCCTCAGAAAAAGAGGAAGATGCAGAGGAAGAAGAGGAGGAGGAGGAAGAAGAAGAGGAGGAAGAGGAGGAAGAACTGCCTTCAGAGCTGCTTAGGGAAGAAGGGCTATGGCTGGAGTCTAAGGAGAGGCCTGAGTCAGAGTCAAATTCCTCCTCCAGCTGGGAGGCCTGCACAGGGTTAAAGCCTTCTTCAATGGCCAGGTCCATTAAGCTAATCTCATCCAACATGGCTTCATCTAACAGACCCCCCAGTGGGTCAGGAAGCTCTGGGCCTGCTGTGTCATTGGCTGTGCCATTGAGCTGGGGTGGAAAGAAGAGCCCTGTTAGGTTGGTGGAGCCGAAGGTGGAGTTGAGGCTGGTGGAATTGCTGGGGACCAATGGGAGCAGCGTGGAGCTACTGGCCACAGGCAGGCTTTCCACCTCGGGGCTGAAGAGTAAGAAGTCCTGGCTGCAGCCCCCCAGGGATGCCTGATGCAGGCTGACATTCTGATTGATGGGAGTGCTGGGGGCAAGGCTGTAGTTGGTGCTCAGTGGATCTCCAGAAGGGGTATTGTACAGGATTTCACTTGCTGATGTGTTCACTTCCATGGCCTGGGAGGGGAGAAGAGCACCACTGTTCACTAGGAACTGACTCCCTCCCCTGGGGCTCACACACTGCAGGCACCCAACAGAGGCACAGCGGCTGGGTGTAAAGGCAAAAGACTAGAAACCAAAACCCACAGTGTCAGCTCCTGACCGAGCTTCATCCACTAGGCCTTGCAGAGATGGGTTTTTCCATGTATAACCCTAATATAGGACTGACCAGCTTTTCCTCATTTTTGGCTAGACTCCCCCCATCTTGGAGGGAGAGGAAGAAAACACTACCTTGTTACTGCAAAATCAACACAAGTGAAAAGAACACCCAGCCTTACGTCAGAAAACCTAGTTGCACCACTTGCTGTGTGACCATGGGCACATCATTTAACCTCTCTGAGCTTCAATTTCCTCACCTTTGAAATAATAAAGGCTGAATAGATGATTGTGAGGGCCAAGTGAGAGAACGATGGCTGTAAAGCACCATGTGAATGTCAGCTATTATTAATGCAGAACCTTGGAAGCACTCAGCAAAGTGCCTATTTGCCTGAAGGAAAGGAAGAAGGCACACCTTCAGGAGGCAGGCCCTGATTTGGAAGGCTGAGTCCTGAGTTTTATTTAACCCAAACCCTACCTGTCTCCACCTCCCTTGTCCCAAGGAGACACCTGGACAGGTTTCCTCTCAGTGTCCCCACTTTCCTATGGATCAGAGACAGTATTACTACTTCTTTCCACAGAGATGGAAAAGCAACTGAGTGCTAAGACACCCTGTGCAAAATCCAATAGGTTTGTGCCATTTGACAATCCTACCTGCATTTCCATGATGGACATGAGATCTTGCCACTGCTGTTCCAAATCAAATGGTGACTCTGTCCCAGTCAGGAGAGGAGACAAGAGGTTGTTTTGAAGATCTGGGGGCTCACTCTCACTAGGCACTGCTTCTGTTATGCTGGAAATGTCTGCTGGAAACTAGGGCAAAACATAGAGTCTTTAACAAGGGGAAGGAAAGACTGTGTGCATTCTTCCCAGAGACTACCATCTGGAGTCTGTTTCTGTTCTTCCTTCCTCTGCATTTACCCCCAGCAGCCAGGACAAGGCCAGAACCAAGAGCTGGCCCCTCAGCCATGAAGGAACACACCCGGTATAGGCTACTCTGCTCACTTGGTGGGCTCTCACTGGAGTCCTGCTCACCTCAGCATTCTCCCCAAAGGGGCAGGTGGCTTCCAGCAGCCTAAGGCACTCTTCCAGGGACAGGGCCGTCTGGTCCTCCCCACTAGGCACCTGTGGCAACAGGAACTGTAAGTCTGACTCGGGCCTTAGCTGCCTAAGGCTGAAGCTTCTTTCTCAGAATGGGTGGAGGCCTGCAGTCTCCCTCCCATTCCCAGGCTAATGGCTGGTCCCCAACCCCAAACTCCCAGCAACAGAAGGGAGACTGGAAGAGTCCTGAAGCAAGCAGGAAGATGCTAGATGCTCTGCCTCCCTTAAGCTGTCTGTTGCCAAGGCCTGGCCCTTCTGCGTCTGCTGCTTTTCACTTCCCTTTCCAAGACAGCCACTGGGACTAACAGACCCAACCCAAAACAGAAATTCAGGTCCACCCCACACACAAACTGTCTTCTCTAAAGGAAGTTTCTGGAAGAACTCCAGCCTGGTTTTTGTCAGGGAAGAAGGGACAAGAAGAGAGCCCAGTGAGCAGAGGTGATGGTACCTGTACAGGGAAGCTCTCCCCAGTCTCTCCATCCACTAGCAGGTTCCGTGCCAGAGCTTCCGCGCCCTCGCCTGCCCAAGTGTCCTGTTCGCCTCCATCTCGCAGCTCCTTCTCCACATCCTGCTCCTTCTGGCGATGACTATAGTCAAAAACCTCACGCCCAGCCCCCAAATCAATATCCTGTCGCCAAAGGATGTCAATCAGATCTATGTCCTGAAAGACAGATCACATGACTTTAGCTCTCAGGAACCTGGGTCCTTTCCTTGTCCTGCCCCTCAGAGGTTCCTCCTAGTGTCACCCCAGCTAGTCCTGCCTTTACCCCCTGGTCCCTCTGCACCAGCAAGTGCTCATTCATCTATTTCCAGACACTATCCCCTCACCACACAAAAAAAAGAGCCACTAGCAAAACCATTAGCATGACTATCACCATCAAGGTGGGAATGATTAGGATGTGGACTAAGACACACCTGGCCAAAAGGCAGGGCCACCTCACCCCTACACAAAGAAGGGGAACATCAGGAGACACCTCTCGCTTTGGGAATCAGACCCCTTAAAACTTGGTTTGGTGGAAGCTGGCCATGGCAAGCAAGAGCAAATTGTCATGCAGAACTGCTTAGCAGTGGCCAGGCTTGCATCAGCCTTGTGGTGCCATTTCATTTGCATAAAGGGGTGGGGTAGGCTGGAGAGGAAAATCCCTGTATTTCCAACCACCTGATGCAACCAATGACAACGCCATGCTGTCTCCAGCCCTTCCTAAGGCCATTCCCCATTCCCCAGCTGGTAGCAAGAGTAAGGCTGATACCCACAACTCCTCAACCCCAGGCTCACCTCAAGATTCATCCCTACCAGAATTCCCACTCTCAGAGGATCCCCAAGGGGGCATCCCAACCCTGCCCAGGCTAGCCTGTGTCCCCTCACAGCAGGGCTCTCACTCCCTTCCTCACCACACCCCAGAACTAACCAACTCCCCATCAGTCAACCCACTCAAGGACATAACCCCCATCACTGCTCAGCTACAACTGCCACCTTGGCCACCAAAATGCCTCCCTCCCGCTCTGCCCTGGTGGCTTGTGAACAGTTGCTGCACCAACTGCCACCCCCACTGCCAACAGCATAGGGCCCCAATAAATAGAGCTATTTCGGCTTCCTACATATGGCACCCCCCTGTAGTCGTGCCCTCCCCACAAGCCTGAAGAAACCCTAAAGTGTTGCCTTCCATCCAGGGAATAAAATGCAGACACACACTTTCCAGAACACAATTTCCTTAGATCAGACCCACCTCCTCCCTATCTCTAAGCTGGTATCCCTTTCCCATTAACCCTCCCTGACCCTAAGACCTCCCAGATGTAATACTTCCTTTAGTCTACCCACATACACCAACCTGAACAGAAGCCCTGGACCCAGGAGCAGAGGGAGGCTGGGCCACCCCGTGACCAGCCAGCAAAGAGTTAAGGGGCCGGCTGCCTTTGGCATGGCCCCCACCACTGTGAGAGCTGCGGTCCAGGCGGGTCATGGTCTGCGAGATGAGCCCCAGGGCAGCCGGTGCCGGGAAGCCGGACAGGGGGCTGCAAGGAGCTCTTGGCTTTCAGGGAGCACACCAGGCTGGAAGGGTGGCCCCTTGCTAGCTCCGAGGGGCCTGAGGAGGGTGCCCCGCCCGTGATGCTGCCTGGGCGGCCCAGCCCAGCCCCCTTCCTCCATCCTTAAGCAGCCCCCTCCCACCTCAGAACCCCAGTTCCACTCAGGCGCCCAGCTGCCCCCACCCTGAGCTCACCGCAGAGGCTGCAGTGAGATGGGACTCCCACCCCATGCTCCGTGCTCAAGCTGCAGAGGAAAGCAAGCTCCCTCCTGGGCCTATCCTCCCGCTCCTCCCTCTCCCCCTCCCCACGTCCCCCAAACTTGTTACCTAGGCTGCAGCAAGGAGCCAATCCCCTCCCCCTCCCACCCCGCAGGTCACTGCTGAGGCTGCAGAGAGCCAATCCCCTCCCCCAGGTCAGCAGCTGGGCTGCGGAAAGAGCCAATCCCCTCCCACTGTCGTTACCTAGGCTGCGCAGAGAGCCAATCTCCTCCCCCAAGTCTCCGCTGGAGATGTGGAAGGAGCCAATCCCCTCCCACCGCCTGTTACCTAGCTGCAGACGGGAACCAATCGCTGCATCAGGGCAGCTGGAGAAGCTGCCGCAAAGAACCAGCCCATCCCTGGGCCGCCTCCGTCTCCTTGAGGAGATGCGCCCAGGGGCGGGCAGCCCCACCCAGCCCAGTCAGTCAGCTGGGGTGGCGCAGTGAGAGCCCTGGGGGAAGGGGTGCCACTCTCCTCCCTCCTGTCGCAGCTTGCTCATCCAGCCCACTCAGGTCTGAGCATACACTCCTCCCCAGATTCTCTGGGAATCTAAATTCTTTGCTGGAAGTGGAAGGACTTTTCCCATTCTTCAGGAAGGCAGTGGCCAGTTCTCAAGGCCAGGGACTTACTGGCCAGGCTGGGTAGGAACCCAGGGCACACAGGCCCACCATAAGTTTTGTCACCTCAGAATAGGCCAGACTAGGGAAAACGGAAGGCCATTTTCCCCAAATGCAGCAATGTCACAGTGCTGGCCAGTCCTAGCCCTAAGCAAGAGGAGGGGACACACAACCCGGAAGCCCTACACTTAGGGTGACAGGTGCTCGACATTCTCCTGGCCACAAATGTCCCCATTCCCCTTTTACCCTGGCTTTGTTCAAGAGCATTCTCTGCCTGATCCCTGGCCCACATCTAATCCAAGCAGGAAAGAAGCCCCTCACAGACTCAGTATCACAATTCAGACTCCCTGGATTGGTCTCTCAAGGGGAAACTTAGCTCCCTCCCCACTGCTGCTCCCCTGGAGCCTAAGGTCAGGTCAAAGAGACAGTATGTTCTCTCTGGTCAGTCTGCTCCTAGCCTGAAAAGAGCTGTAAACAGGCCACCCCCCTGCTCTGGGCAGAATGCCAATCTCAAGGGGAATCCTATCCCTGACAAGGGCCTAGGCTATGGCTGTCCATAGAACAGGCCTGGCAGCAGGAGAGCACTACCACCCCAGGGATAATACCGGTTCCAGCAGTGCCTGTCACATGCTCTGGACCTGGGTATTTTTATCTCTGAGTTGCTGAGGAAATGTTGTTCTAGACACATAATAACTCCCTTCCCCCATACCCAGCCTGGGCCCCTAATGCTGACCCATCCCACATCCCAAAGGGAGTCCTAAAGGCCTGAGATAAGGAAAAGCAGGACCTTCACCAGGGCCAAGAAACAGGAAGGGAGCGTCAAAGTCCCATCCCATCCTGCCCCAACCCACCCAATTATGTCCAAAACATCCCATCCCATACCCATCCCAAAAGGAACTGATATGGAGCTACCCCTGCAGGGTTTCCAGGAGCAAACTCAGTTCCACCCACCCCTGGGGGAGCTACACTGGGGCAGGAGTATGGAGCAAAGACTGGGAAGCACATTTTAGAACACTGTGCCAAGACTGGAGCCCACTTGAACTAAAGGGAAAGGGCATGCGGAAGAAAGGTGAAGTTCCAAGAGGTCCTCTAAGAAGCTAAAATGAGAGGCCCTGAAAGGTAAGAAATGTTCCTGGCTCCTGCGCTTAGATAATCCTAGTCCCTCTCAAAGCAGGTCCACTATGAGCCATTTGAACACAGAGCAGTGTCTCAGTCCCTATATTACTGACACTTGGGGGCAGACAAATCTGTTGTTTTGGGGTGCCCTGTGCCATTTCGGATGTTAAGCAGCATCCTTGGCCCCTACCCACTAGGTCCCAGTAGCACCCCCACCCAAAGTTGTGACAACCAAAACTGTTTCACCATACTGGCACCTGCACCCTCGGGGACAAAATCACCACTGGCCTAGAACAAGCCATACTCTTTGACAGTCACTAACAGTCAGAGAACTGAGCTCAGGAAAAGTCTCCAAAGCAGGGAAGGAGGGAAAACATGGTTTGACGTGGCAGGCAGAGGAGCCAATTTCTGCAGCATCTGTAAAACTTTTTACATTCTTCCACATTGCCACCTCCAAAAACCCAGTCAGGCCTTTTCCTTCCCTAATGGCCAGGGGGAGTGAGGTAGGCCTTTTCCTCAGCTCCTTAAGGCTGGGTGGCAAGCCAGAGCCATACAAACCCACAACTCAAAGCAATCTTATCATGGTGGGGCAAAGGCACCAGTAGCCATTTGCATCTTAAAAGGCAAAGGACTGCATCACTTTCTGCTCAGAACAGAATGTCAGGCATGTGACAAGAGCTAAGGATCTCTTCTAACAGCTCAAAGCAAGTTGACTTGGGCAGCAGAAGGCAGTTTCTCTTCCAGCTCCCAGCCTTCTTTTCCCTACTCCCTGCAGTGGGCCTTTAGCAAAGAATGGAAGACTTGGCCCTCTCCTGGCCAAGAATAACTATTCAAGTCTACCCCTTGGCTCAGGCCCAGGAGGTCTGAATTATCACGACAATACAACAGGCCTGACCACAAAGGAGAACTTCAGGGTATGTCTGTGTTCTGATGTGGGGGGAGGTAAAAGGCAACAGTCCGTAAGTATTTGTGTCGTAGCAACACATGTACACTGCATCAAAGCCCAACACAACATGACTCCTCCCCCACCCCAGGCCTCAAGCAGTCATCCTGAAATCCAAGCAGTAAACACCCTGGCATGTGTAGGAACCTCCCACTGCCATGACAGTACATTTAGTTAGGTCAATGGTTCAACACAGGGAAATGCTCCCAGCCCCCAGTCCTAATGTCAGACAGTTCAGCCCATCCCTACACAAGAACAGTGCCTGAGGGCCCCAATGGAACCTGTCTGGCTCTTTACAGGGCTCAGGGTTGTGACCACAATCCTTCAGGACCAGCCCACTCCCACCCCCAAATCCCAGGTCCCACCCACCCACCACAGGTCCACTAACCTCTTTGGTTAAGTCTCCACTGACTGGAGGGGCTACAGCCCCCAAATCCTCCAAATCTTCACCGAATCCCTGTTCCGTTTCGCTTTCTCGAACCCCGTTGTCTGAGCCTGTCACATCTTGGAGGCCACTGGAACTCTCGAGAGCGAGGCCTGAGTTGGGCTGACTGCCAGAGACAGACCCCTCTGGGTCTCGGTGAACCAGCCAGGCATTTACCTCAGTGGTTGGCACCTGGAACCTGTCCAGGGCCCTCACCTGACTGAGGAGCCGCCGGGCAGTGAAGTAATTGTCCAGGTCTATGCTCTTGGGGTGGATACCATAGCCATCCAAGGTATTCCTCAGGTTGTGGAACTGGGTCTGAGTATAGGCAGAACTGGGCCCCAGGATGATCTCCCGGAGTGGGGGGAGCTGTGAGGTCAGGTAAGTATCCACGTCCACCCGTACCCCAATCAAACTTAGCAGAATGGTGAACTGGAGAAGTCCTTCCGTTAAGTATTTCTTCAGAGAAAGCATTGCTGAAGGACCAGAATGTTTATGCTTTTTGGTTTTTAAATCTTCCAAAAGATAAATCAAGGCCACTGCTCTGCCGCTCCAGCCAGCAGGTTACCCTGCTCGGTGCCAAACCCCGTACCCCACCCTGGCAGAACACAAGGGCTGAGCTCCCTGATGGCCCCAGAGGAAAGCACACCCTGTGGAGCCAAGGCCAAGGCCACACTCCAGACAACATTCACTTTTCCCTTCTCGACACCTCACCTCTGAAAGCGCAACTGTTCCTAACCCAGTCTAGGCCCTCACGGCCCACGTGACTTACTGTCTCCACAGTCCGCATATAGTCACTTCCTCACTCACATTAGTTGTCTGCTCCGTAGATTCCACTGCAGGCTGTTCTCAGGAACAGCTGATGGATTTTTTTTCCTTCTCCTTCTTAATGTTTATTTTGTTTGGCTGGAGCTACAGGACTTTTGTCTTGGATCAGAGTGTCCCGCCTCCTCCACACTTACCAGGGGGGTTTCCAGAGAAACCTGAAATGGCAATCACAAAAGCAACAGGGTAAGATTCCATACTTTTCACATCATGATCAGGGTAGGAAATCTTCACAGAAGGCAGAAAACACATTCAAAAGTCCCTTTCACTTTTTTTTTTTTTTTTTTGAGAGTCTCATGCTTTGCCCAGGCTGGAGTACAGTGGTGTCATAATCTGCACTCGCTACAATCACCACCTTCCAGGTTTAAGCCGTTCTCCTGCCTCAGTCTCCCAAGTAGCTAAGATTATAGGCGTCCACCACTATGCCCAATTAATTTTTGTATTTTTTGTAGAGACAGGGTTTCACCATGTTGGGCAGGATGATCTCAAACTCCTGACTTCAGGTGATTTGCCCACCTTGGCCTCCCAAAGTGCCGGGATTACAGATGTGAGTCACTGTGCCCGGCCTAAATGCCACTTTTAAAGGAAGAAAGGACTACTTACATTCTCAGGAAAAAAAAACCCAAAATATAACAACTGATCATAGATGTAAGAACTATAAAAGAAAAGGACTGATCACAAAGGATCTCAGTTACTGAATATTAAACGTGCACTATTCTAAAAGGTCACTTTCTTTGGATAAGCAGACAATGACCAGGGCATCTAAAATATCTTACACCTCTGTCTTATTTACCAGTCCTCCTCCCTGCTACAGAAGCATTACCCAGCTTCTATTTTTACATGAGAAGCCCATTTCCTGTCTTAAAAGTAAAGCAGGATTTTCACCTCTCAGGAGAAAAACCACCTATAACAGTTGTCTTTTCCAGTTCAAAAAGGTGAGATTATTAAAGGGTAAGAGTGTGGAAGGACAAAAGGACAATGTTCAGGCCACCACTTCACCCAGAAGAAGAATGTCTTTTGCTTTCTGAACTTTGAAATCCAATTTCCTTTTCCTAACCTCAGAACTTAAGAAAAGAAAAAGGCCGGGCACAGCGGCTCACGACTATAATCCCAACACTTTAGGAGGCCAAGGAGGGAGGATCACCTGAGGTCAGGAGTTCGACAACAGCCTGACCAACATGGTGAAACCCCGTCCCTACTAAAAATACAAAATTAGCCGGGGAGGGTGGCCCATGCCTGTAATCCTGGCTACTTGGGTGTCTGAGGCAGGAGAATCGCTTGAACCCAGAAGGTAGAGGTTGTGGTGAGAGGAGATCACGCCATTGCACTCCAGCTTGGGCAACAAGAGTGAAACTCCGTCTCAAAAAAAAAGAGAGAGAGAGAGAGATGGGGGCCTACCACGCAGGGCTATTCCATCCAGAATTTGCATAGGCAGGTTTTATTTTCATTCATATGACCTTCTGAGCCAAAGCAGAAGGATATGGCCAAGTTCTCCAGCCAGCCTGCCCAGTGCCGAGGGGGTAAATCTGTTTCTAGTCTCCACTTTTGAGCTTCCATTAATCTAACAAACCAAGACGTGTCTACCCCTCTCCTCTCCGGCGATGTAACCCATCTAGCAGACAGACACACACACCACACACACACACACACACTCTCTCACTCTCTCTCTCTCTCTCTCTCTCTCCCCCCCCCCCCCGCCTTTGGTCAGAGTAAACACAATTGCGACCCAGAATTCCTGCTTACGCTACACTCCCGTTCTCACGCAGTTTATTACTAAAACCTCCCAAGAGTCAATTAAGTTCGAGAAACCGGACAAAGTCCCTTAAAAATCGAGTTAGGGGCACGTCCCTGGCCTGAGGCTGGTCCCACCCTGCCCGGATACCCGAGTCCGGCTGAGACCAAGTCGCCATGCCCACTCTCGGCGCCTGAGCTTCCAGCCTCCTGGGGCGGCCAGCGAACAAGTGCTACGTCCCTGGCCTTGACCCACCCTTACAGCAAACCCCACCCCGCCCTCCGTCCCGATGGCCCCACCCCACTCCCAAGTCCGGGTCTCACACCACGCCTTCTCGTGCCCTCAACCCTGCCCAGTCCATCCCACCCCGGAGCCAGCTGTCCTCGGCCCCGCGCGCGGCCCCTCCCTTTCAGGCCCAGGGCCCGGCTCCGGCGGGAACCCCGCTCGGCCCCCGCCTCCTGCTCCTCAGCACCATCCCGCAGCCCATCGCCCCATAGGCCTCCGCCCCGCGGCGCTGCACCCCTCCCTTCCGGGAATAGAATGTGCCCGATACCCGCTGCTGAGCTCGGCGTCCGCGGCTGCCGCCACAGCAGGCCCTCAGCCCGAGACCCGGCCTCGCCGCCGCCACCGCCGGCCGGCCTAGAGCTCCCCAGCCTCCGCTTCCCTCCCCGCCCCCTCCTGCCACCGCACTCAGAAGCCCGCCCGCCGCAGGCAACCCAGGAACAGTTTCTCCAATCAACGGGCCGATACTATGGCCGTCGCCGGATGTCCTTCTGA